GAAAAATAAATGTTGTGTGACAGATATAACTTTCTGTAGATGTAGTGAAAAATGGTCGTAGCTCCTTGGGCAATTAGACCTAGATAGAAAAATAAATGTTGTGTGACAGATATAACTTTCTGTAGATGTAGTGAAAAATGGTCGTAGCTCCTTGGGCAATTAGACCTAGATAGAAAAATAAATGTTGTGTGACAGATATAACTTTCTGTAGATGTAGTGAAAAATGGTCGTAGCTCCTTGGGCAATTAGACCTAGATAGAAAAATAAATGTTGTGTGACAGATATAACTTTCTGTAACAAAGAGGACAAGACAGCACACACTACAGAATTCCTAGAGACTGTCTTGGTCACAATGAACTCTTGCTAAGCTTAATACAAAAGTCTATAACACAGGGTCAGTATCTTCACCGATTGTTTTTTTTTTGCTACTTTATGTACATTTTTTTAACACGCTTTGAGATCTTTCTTGTTACTTACCTCACTGTCTATTTGATCGGATCTGTCCAAGGAATCTATCGTGTCATTGCTAGAGCTGTGGATAAGGTCAGAGTACTCGTCAAACTGCCGTTGTTTCTTACGCACGTTCCAGTGAAGACACTCGGCTAAACTGTCAAACCAATCACTGATTTGGTCATGGGCACAGATGGATGGTAAAGGATAGACAGACATGGTCACTCGCAGACTAGAGAAGGACACAAAGAATTCAGTTTTTAATGAAAGATTCCAAATCAGAACACACTTGTCATCTCAAAGTTTACACACACACACACAAATACCCCTTTTTTGTAATTTAAAAAACTACTGCAACTACAAAAAATTTTCTTTAGATGTTAAGCTAAACATTTGCATTTTTTTGTTAAAATTTTTGGATTGAAAAACCATTGCATTGGTGGATCTTCAATGGTCGTCTTTAATTTTCCACTACTCAGAGTTTCTTTAAAGAAAAAAAAAAAGGTAATGTATTCAAAAGTTTAACTCCAAGGAACAGGAAATAAAGTAGAAAAGATTATAATGCATCCTTTGTTATTGGCTTTAAAAGAATTGATGAATAAACACGAAAATAAAGCGGTAAGCCATATTCAAGGTACTGACATCAAAACTTAATATATCTTGTCTAGTTATTACAGGCAGAAAGAACACTTGATAAAAATATATATTTTAGTTTAGAGAATTTGTTAAAATGGTCAAATGTTTAAGCCATTAAACAATCTTATTCAATAACATTAGTCTAAAATTTAATTTCTATTTCAACATTCTAGTAAACATGAATGCTTCGTGTAAACCAACCACCATTTAATTATCTATGAAGATAGCATTGATTTAACAATCTGCAGTATTAAAGGACTTAACTAGTGAAAATATCAAGACATTAAATTCTCATCTTAATCCTTTGAAAAAACCTATTGTAAGTAAAGAACATAAGGATGAACCTACAGTAACAAAAAACATCCGTTGGTTTATTTGAACTAGCACTATTGACCAGAAGCATGAATATTCAGGAAGTTTTTATAAGTTGAATGTGTTGGAAAAAATAATTCTGCTGTTACAAGTCTTCATCAGTTCTTCATGAATTATGCTGGTTGGATAGTTTAGATTCCGATACCAATAGGAAAATTATGCTGGTTGGAATGTTTAGATTCTGATAGAGGAATTATGCTGGTTGGAATGTTTATATTATATTAGGGGAATTATGCTGGTTGAAATGTTTAGATTATATTAGGGGAATTATGCTGGTTGGAATGTTTAGGTTCTACTTGGGAAATTATGCTGGTTGGAATGTTTAGGTTCTACTTGGGAAATTATGCTGGTTGGTCTGTTTAGATTATATTAGGGGAATTATGCTGGTTGGACTGTTTAGATTATATTAGGGGAATTATGCTGGTTGGACTGTTTAGATTATATTAGGGGAATTATGCTGGTTGGACTGTTTAGATTATATTAGGGG